CGGTGCGGTGCGGTCCCCTCGTGAATGCGTTAACTAGAATTGTGTTTTCCCGCTCAGCGAAGCGACCGAGTGCAGGTCTGGCTGGTCTCGCATGTGGAGGGCGGGTCGTACGAGTGAGGAGTTGGAGCGGGGTGGCGGCGTGGGGCCACAGGGGTGGGAGAGGGGGCGACAGAGGCCCCGCGAAAGGTCCAGAGAGCGTAACGATCACCCGTTGTAGCGCACACCTTCAGGCTCAGTCTGAATATAGCACTTTCGTCGCTGTCTCTTTCTCTCTCACTCACTGACTCTTACTTTGGGGTGCGACAGGGACGGCGAGACTGTTCGGAACCAAGGTGGCGGATGAACCACCCACAGCCAACAGTGTACCAGTGCTGTCAGCTGCCCGCTGAGCACACGCCTATCTCCAGGGCGAGCGCTACTATAGGTCTCTGCGAACGCGGCTCGCGGCTCGCTTGGGGACCGGAGGACGGCGGGCAGGGCGGGCAGGGCGGGCAGGCAGCGTCCTTGAGGGACTGCAGACAACTCTGTGCCTCCCCTGGGCCGGCCAGGTCCGGCCCGGCCCAGCCCATGCAGAATGGACCATGCAGAATGCGTGACACGCTCGTCCCGACTAACCTAACCTCACTTCATTCAAAATGGATGAACCGTGACTAATGCTGCGCCCCCTCCGGATCGGTCTTAGGCACTGTGGGGAAAAATCACAGTAAATCCTGTAGTAATTAGTACAGCTGTCACTGTAGTTCAGAGGACAAGATTAACTGTACTTTTTTAACAGGATCTACTGTACTTTGTACGGGATTTACTGTACCACAGGGGTGGAGTACGGAATATCCTGTACCAGGTACAGTGGATACTGTAGCCAGGCACGGTAAATCCTGTGTTCTGAACTACAGTAAATCCCGGCAAAAAAATTAACGGGATTCACTGTGGTTTTTTCGCACAGTGGGGAGGCCCTGCACAGTGGGCCAGAAGACCGGTGAAGGCGGCCAAAACTCCAGACGCGTTTTGAGCACTAGAGTCGCTAAGCAGGACTCGAATCGAGCGTGTGACCCCACCAATGGATTCCTCGTTCGGAGAGCAATCCATTGGTGGGGTCACACTTTCGGTTCGAGTCCCGTTTAGCGACTCTGGAAATCAAAACGCGTCTAGAGTTTTGGCCGCCTCCACCGGCTTCTGGCCCACTGTCGTGCCCTGGAGGACCCACTCGCGCCGCACGAGTCCGGGGAGGCCTTCACGTCAAATTTAACAGCAGTCAAGTTCTTTTGAAAAAACAATTGATAAACTTAAAAAAAAGAAAAGTTTTTATTATTTTAAAAAAAAATCTAATGACACAGGATAAACCACTGAATGAATGCGCTCATTTCCTCGTCGAGGTAAGCGTGCCCGCGGACCCCGTTCCCGTCTCTGCTCAGCGGGCGTGTCCGTCCCACATTGTTTGTGATTAGGCCACTCGCGTATCACACTACCCCACTCAATGCCACGGGGGATTATCTCTACTTCCCGATCCAACAACAACAACAATAGCAACAGCTGCATCGGGGAACAACAACAAGTAATCAATCATCAATCACGATTAACACGCAGAGGGGCGCGAGGTGGATCACGGTCTTCTCAATGCGTGCTCCCACTGTTGTAATGCATCCAGGACAACAACAGCAACAATGAAGGCTGCTTGTTGTGTGTGAGCATTTCACGCAGCACAGTGCGTTTGCTGTCCGCAGCACGTTTCAATCTGACGACCAGCCCGTTGGAAAAGTGAATTAAAGTCGGAAGATTCGAACCTCTGGACTGGAAAGCGACCTTGCCCACGCTGCGGAAGGCCACTCACCCCCGGGCTTGCCGTAAATAATTCCGTATGCCCCTACAATGCACAATGACTCGAACGGAACGGGTTGAAAAAAGACACCCACACAAAGCAGCTACCCCAAACAAACAAACAAACAAACAAACAAACGAAACACGACGCTAAAAAGTGGGTTGAGAAAAAGGGGGGCGATTTGGCGTGCTGTCATGTCAGGCCTTGGACGCCGGCCTGCAGTCCAGGGCCACGCGCGCCGCCCATCCTTCACGCTTGCGGCGCTTGGCGGCGCTTGGCGAGGCGCCTGAAAGCGCTTGGAGGCGCCTGAAAGCGCTTGGCGAGGCGCCTGAAAGCGCTAGGAGGCGCCTGAAAGCGCTTGGAGGCGCCTGAAAGCGCTTGGAGGCGCCTGAAAGCGCTTGGAGGCGCCTGAAAGCGCTTGGAGGCGCCTGAAAGCACTTGGAGGCGCCTGAAAGCGCTTGGAGGCGCCTGAAAGCGCTTGGCGAGGCGCCTGAAAGCGCTTGGAGGCGCTCCGCGTTCAGCGCTCGGCGTCACAGGGCACCACCCCTGCGGCCGCCTGCGCCTTCCATCAGCCCCAAACGCCGCAATGCCATTGGCCCAATTTCCGGCCAATAAATCTGGACCGGCAACGCGGCAACCCGATTCTCCGCGCCACTCGGGGCGACTCGGCCGCCTACGCCAGCCTACCTCCCCAGCGCCAAGGCCAGCCCCAGCCAAGCCGCCCCGAAAGACCTTCTCGCGAAAATAAAGAGAAAATACAAAAAAAATTACATGTGGAAATCGAAGTCAAGGTTTCTCCCTCCCCCCTTTTTTTCGCGCGCTCCGGAGAAGGCATGGGACCATGAACGAACCATGAGGCGACGACAGAGGCAGAGGTGAGAAAAAAATATCGAGAGCAAATCGACTGGATTATATACTTGACACGCCTCAGACTCTCTTCCGGCTGGGCACCTCGTCCCATTTTTCATTTCTTCTTCGACAGACGCGGCGGCGCGGCGGCGCGGCGGTCGGGGAAGCCGCAGGGGATTCCGTAATGGCGGGTAAGTTATGACGGGCCGATAATGTGCAGGTAACAGGTAGGGGGGGTAATTGGTGCAGAGAAAGGAACAGGCTAGGCATTCCGGGTAGGTCATTGTGGGGTAACAGCGTTACGGGGGAAGCTTGACGGGGTGGGCGGAACAGGCTGGCCCAGGCCCGGCCGGGAAAAAGATTATCCCCGTAGATTAGCCGGCGAGGAATTTATCTGGGCTGTAATGGCAGCCATGGCGGGCATAGATTCGGCCGGATGGAGTGGGCTGGGCTGGGCAGGTTCGGGTGTTGCCAACACCGGGACGTGACAACGGGGCGGGGGGGCGGGGCGGGGCGGGGCGGGGCGGCGGCGGCGGCGGGCAACACACCCCGCCACCATTAGTATGTAAATGCCCCGAACGTCCACGCACGGCCTTTGCTTGGGGCTTCCCTGCTTATCCCGGTTCCCTGCGTCCCCGGTAGCGCCACGGGCCTTTTTGCCCATCCGGGTCTAATGCGACTGGCATTTTATGTATTTGGCACCGTCTGTTTGTCCGGCCGCAGAGCCCCTCGCCTACCCTCGCCCCAGCGCCCGCAGAGGGGAGGGGGCAGCCAGCGTCCCGCCTGCTACCATTCAAATGAAATCGTTCGGCGAAAAAAAAGGGGGGGGAGAATAAGAAAAGAGGCGTAACTGGTCGAAATGGCGGGGCTTTTATTTCCCGGTGGGTATTGGACTTGGCCGTCGGAGCCGTGCGTAATCCCATTAGAAGGGCAGGGGTGCGGTGCAGTGGCGACACTGTGGTGGCAAGACCGTAGAAATGCAGCTCGGTTCAGCGCGGTGCGGCCGTGGTGGCCGTGGTGGGCCGGGGGCGGAGCGGGGCAGAAAGAAAGGGGTGCAGGGTGCTGAGCTGCGCGACGACTATCTGGGAAACACCCCCGCCGCCCCGCCCCGCCCCGCCCCGCCCCGCCCTGCTGGCCTGCCCTGCGTTATCTCAGTCGAGAGGCCTCCATTCCATCCACCTACTTCCTTCTTCCTTACTCCTTCCTTTCGCTTATCTATGTGCCGAACCTTCCCTGCACCCCCTCCGTGCATCCTCAGCAGTGTGGGGGCTGATTGGCAGTCCGATATGCTGCACACCACTCACCTCATGACAAGGTAATCCTTAGTATCCTCTCACACGCACGCGCACACACGCACACACACACGCACACGCGAGGACTCGGCCGGCGCGAGTCAAGGATTCATCCGACGGTGCTCGCCCCCCGGCCCGCTAGCGTCGCGTAGCGTCGCGCCCGCTGCGGCACGGACGGGTCGCCAGATGCGCCCCGCTGCGGCGCTGCGGCTTGCCACACGCGGCGAGCTCCAACACGCGCCGGATCCGCCAGGTCCAGGCGACCACCGAGGTCTTCCCCGTGCCGACCACTCAGCACCGCTCCGCGCGCCCCCCGCAACACGACTGAAGCTTCACCGCGCCTCCACCGCGCGTCCGGGGCGGGGAGGGAAGGCCCAGCGCGCTGGTGGTTGCGCGGTGCCGCCGCCAGGGGTCGCCACCCACTGCGCCGTCACGCCTCGCCGCCCCCACACTGCAAAGTCGCAAACGGTTATTGTTATTTTCCGAGACGATGTCGTCTTGCGCTGGCTGTGCGGCTGTGCGCTGGCTGTGACTACGCGCACGGCACCCGCCGAAAAGTCGCGGTGATTTGCGGATCCTTCAACAGTGTGGGGAACATATACATTTTCGCACTCTGAAAGTAAAAATTGACAAAAAAAAGCGGTCGCGCGGTTACAACTTGTACACTACACCACGAAACGTGAGTGTGGTGGAGTGGGTCGGCGACATCTCAGTTCAAAAGTCCCGCGTTGCTGGAGCTTGCGGCCCCGTTGATGTCTGCCAACGTGACCAGTCACGGCCAGTTGGGTTCGCCGAATTTTTCTTCAACCAAGAAATGGAAGGAACCGTCTGAATTGTTAATGTTTGTTGATCGGCGAATCCTGAAAACGGGCTTTCACGTTCAGAGATAACTAGCGGCCATGCAGCGGCTTTGTTTGCAGACAGAAACCCTGGATGGTCCATGGGCTCCACAGCCAAGAGAAATTTGACGTCCTCGTTGGTCCTCCATGTTGAAAATAAATGCTGTGTTGCGGGTAGTGGCTTCTTGAGTTTGTTTTTAAGAAATGGATGAAACTAAAGTAATTTATCATATTGATGACGAAGAAACTCCATACTTAGTTAAATTGCCTATCTCTCCAGACCAAGTGACGCTCGCCGACTTCAAAAATGTCCTCAATCGACCCAATTACAAGTTCTTTTTCAAGTCTATGGATGATGATTTCGGGTGAGTTTCTCCTTTCGCTTTACGGAAATGGCTATTATTTCTTGTGCCGTAGCGTCCGTATCTTGGTACAGCACAAGGAATTTCGCCTGCAAGATCCAAGTTTTATGGTTTTTCGATAACCTCCCATTTAGTTTTGTTTATTTTTGTGTGCGGCTTACCTATGCATAGGCCTACATCCACTACTTTCTCAAGTTACTGTAAACAATCATACATTTGTGAATTAAAAGGTCGAGAATACCTTTCTCTTCATCTTCTGTTTTGCAAACAACACTCTTTCTAATTTTCTTTTTAGATTTGGTATTCTCTAGTAAATATCAGCAGACTATATTTTGACATTTCAGTTTCTGTTTATTGTTAGTTTGCTGTGTTACAGATATTATCTTCTGCTATTTTCTGACTTCAGTCGCTGTAGTTTCAACTTTGTATCATTTATTCTATGCTATGACTGAATTTAATCTTATAATTTTTCCATTTGAGGCTCTGGTCGATTCACCTTTCTTCATCTCAAGTTGCTCTCATTCATAAACTATGCGTTGTTGACGTTTGGTTTGATTTAAATTTCCAGAGTGGTAAAAGAAGAAATAGTTGACGATGAAGCACATTTGCCCTGCTTCAACGGACGTGTGGTTTCATGGGTATGTATTTTCTCGGTCAATTTTTATACATCTACTAATCTTACATTACTAAGTTTACTCTTCATGTCTTTTAAAGCTGGTTTCTGCTGAGGGAAGCAATGTGTCTGATGGTGCTTCACAGTGCACAGAAAGTGCTGCACACTCAGATGGCAAAAATGGGGACCGTCCAAGTGATGCCAGGTATGTAGCTTTTCTTTTGTTGCCATTCCAAAGTTTTGTCCATTCACAAATTTTGTACTGATTTTTTTTTCCTTTGTACTTGTTTCAGAATGCTTAATCCATCCCACATGAGATCAAATGTAGATGATCTAACATGCACTGAAACAGAATCCATCATCAGTTCCCGGCCTGGCCACCATAGTATGCATAAAAGTGCTCGTCATGAAAAATACAATCAGTATAATGGTGAGATACACACTAGCAACCCCTTACCTTTACCTTTAGACACCCCTGCCCACTGTTTCATTTCTCTTTTCTTCTTATGGTAGGATTAAGAATGAATGGACACTCAAGACTTAGGGGTGGTCATGGGTATGAATCTTCATCCATGCTGAGCTCTGACCTGGAAACAACTAGTTTTTTGGAATCAGAAGATGATGCATCCAGTCGCATCACTTCTACCACTGGAAGGCACACACAAATGTCTATGGACAGAGGCACACTTGGTGAGCTTGAAACTTAATTTACATGTAATGCCAAATCCTATTTCAATGCAATTTTATTCATATTGTGGTTTCATCTTCAGACTCGTCAAGTGTTGTGTCGAGACTACAGTCAAGAAGGAGACCTCAGAGAAGAAGACGTCATCGAGCTCCTCCAGCCATGTCTAGAACCTCATCATTTTCATCCATTACTGACTCTACTATGTCCTTAAACATCATTACCGTTACATTAAACATGGACACAGTCAATTTCTTGGGCATCAGCATTGTAGGCCAAAGCAATAAAGGTGGAGATGGAGGTATCTACGTTGGATCCATCATGAAAGGGTATGTGTTTGAAAATGTTGAAGGTTTGTTGTAATGTAACAATATTGCCTCATGACCTACTTTATTTTTTCCTTCCTCTTTTGAACAGTGGTGCTGTTGCCCTAGATGGGCGCATCGAACCTGGTGATATGATTCTCCAAGTTAACGATATCAATTTTGAAAATATGTCCAATGATGAAGCAGTAAGGGTTTTACGAGAAGTTGTTCAAAAACCTGGGTAAGGATTTGTTTGTCAACTTACCTTCTATGTAAATTAAACCCAGAGATATAACATTTTTTGCTTTTGGCTTTCAGACCTATCAAGCTGGTGGTTGCAAAATGCTGGGACCCCAACCCGAAAGGTTATTTCACTATTCCCCGTACTGAACCAGTGAGGCCCATTGACCCTGGAGCCTGGGTTGCACATACTGCTGCGTTAAGAGGTAAAGTTCTAGTCTAGCGCTCTTTGTTTCCTGTTAACGATAGCATAATGTTTTATCTTTGAACTCTCTTTGTCTCTGTGGATTATTCAATACCAATATCCCACTGAGGAAAGCTGTTGAGTGCTATTAATGTACTATTTAGTCATTTTTCCCCTCTATTTTTTTTGTTTTTTAAAGCTAATTGGGTCTAATCTTTTACTTTACTACCATCCATTACTTTTCCAGGAGAATCTTTTCCTTTGAGGCCACCATCTGTTAGTACTCTAACGTCAACAAGTTCGTCCATAAACTCTACCTTGCCTGACACTGAAAGTAAGGCTCCTTACTGCTTTTGTTTGTTTTTATATCTTGTTATGGTATTTAAGTAACTAATGTCAATTTATTGCCAACTCAGGACCGTTTGAGGAAATTCACTTGACTGTAAATACTGATATGCCTACCATAGTTGCTGCAATGGCTAGGCCAGATTCAGGGTTAGAAATAAGAGACCGTATGTGGTTAAAAATAACCATACCTAATGCTTTTATTGGTGAGTTAAGACTAACTAAACCTCTGCTTTTCTATGAAAATGTTTGTTTTGTCTCACTGCAATGGCTTTCATGTTGACGACAGGTGCTGATGTTGTGGATTGGTTGAATAGTCATGTTGAAGGTTTCCTTGACAGGAGAGATGCTCGCAAATATGCCTCTCAAATGTTAAAAGCTGGCTATATACGCCATACTGTAAATAAAATAACATTTTCAGAACAGTGTTACTACATCTTTGGTGATGTGCTTAGCCATGGTAAATATTTTTCTTTTAAATTGTTTTACATCTTTAAGTGTTGGGTGCATTGAGCTAACGCATTTCTTCTGCAGCTATGTCAACCTTGAAACTCAATGATGACTGCGTCTCCCTTGACCGAGACACTGTAGGACCTCTGCCACCTCCAAGTACTGTAGCGACAGCTCCATGGACAGGCTCACACATGCCTTATGCGGGGGCATACCTTCCTCACGGTGCGGGCTACACTCCTATGCCCTTCAACTACAACAATGAGCCTGGAGCGTACAGCTACGGTCGCGAGGAGAGTGCCAGTATCCACTCCGGCTCAGGTGAGCCCACAACTGTTCAAAGCTTATCTCCATCTGATGCTGAGACTTTACTGGATGCAGAAACATTACTGGATGCTGAGACTTTGCTGCTAGAATGTAAGTGTCCTTTGTTGCGGCTTTTTGTTTTGGAAGGTGGTGTTGATGGTAACTTCTTCTGACTATCCTTTCTTGAAGACTTTCTTGTGACTTTACTGTGATGTAGATTTATTGTTAAGTGAATCAAACAGTCCTTTTGTTAGAAATTTAGAAAATGATAAAAGTTCTCTTACATCTTTTTGTCCATTTGTCAGTAATTGTCGTAAGTAAATATGAGTTGTACTGAATTAAATACAAAAAGTACAGCTCCAATTTCCATTTCTTTAATAAATGGCTTCAACCTCCATCACACCTGCTTTTCAAGCTTTTTTTGTGTTTTGTTGGACCATTTTTTTGTGTTTGTACGTAGCTTTATTGCTATGCTTAAAACTTAAGCTTTTCATGTTGAAACTTTTTCATTTCAATACAGTATTTTGAAATTGACTATTTTTTCTTAAGACCATTTTTTAAATCCTCTGCATCCATCAAATTGTGTTATAATCTACCTGTGTTCTTTGGTGTTGTGTTTTAAGTAGCTCATATGATTTTCATTAGCTCTGCCATCTGACAATATTCTGTTTGTGCTATTTTCTTCACTCTACACCTTTGTGTTGTTACCTTGTGCATTTTTAATGGTATCCGTGTTTTATTGTCAGGTCAACAAAATTGAGTAATACAGTCAAGAGACTAGTCTCATGATACACTGTTGATTAACGATTTTGAAATAATGTTTACAGGAGGAAGCAGCAACGGCTCGGAGCGTCACTGCTTGAAGGAGAAGGACCTTTTGAAGTCGGGAGGAAGCTCTGCCAGTGAAACTGACTTGGTACGCAATCATGGTCAAAACCATGCGGGCGGCCGCCGCTCCGGTGGGTCCAGGTCTCGCTCAAGTGGCTCTGAGCAATCCGTTGCAACTACCACCACAACACCTCCTCAGCAAGGCAGCTCAGTAGGCAGTGGGCCCACTGCCTCCGGCACTCCAAATGCAGAAGACGTTTCTGGCAGCAGACAATCCTTCCGAATGGCCATGGGCAACCCTTGTGAGTTTTTTGTAGATGTCATGTAGAGTTGTGTTGAGTTATTTTTCTTTGGTACATTGCTTTTTGATACTTTTGTGTGAAGTAGAGCCATTAGTCACCGTTCTGTTTAAATATTTCTCAAAGCACCATCAGGAGCCTTATCTACTGTTAATTTGGCTACTGCAATGTAGCCATGTGATATTTTTCATTGGGTGTCATCCAGTATCCTGAACAAGCTTTTTATTGTTTGTGGTAGAATCATTTATTGTCTCAATCTGTTCATCGATGCCCGAATTTATATGATATGTGTATTTTCGTTTTCATCTGTAATAGTTCTACAGAAAAACATTTTATTGGTTACTTTTAATAAAGTATAACATAACATATATTATCATTTGGTCTCCTCAGACCAAGTGCACTGAACTCAATTAAAGTCTGTTTTAACTTTTGTCACCCCGAGACACAAAATCTTTACTGCAGTATATATTTTGAAAAAACGTCCTAGCTTAGGTGCATGGTTTTGACCTGGTTGTGTAGTATTTGTATTGTTTGTAATATAGTTACTTCACCACAAAATAAAAAAAACAAATACAAAGCTTTGCTTGAGCAAACTCTGTAGATTGCCTTTTTTCAGTATACACGCACAGCTTTGTTTTGTTTCAAATTGTCTATTGTGTTGTTCTTTGGAACTAGGCTACTTAATTTTTTTTCCAAATCTTTTTTTAGAGGCATTGTTTGATGCCATGCTTTAGAGCTTGCTGTTAATTCTGCTATTGGATTGTACACTTAAAAAGTTTGCTAAACTGAGACATTGCAATTCTCCGCATTTTTTGGCCTTTAGAGCAGGAAGGTTCATTGAAAATCAGCAGTAGTTTGCAATTGTGGCAATTGTTGTCTCTTTTAACTTCAATTTCAATGAACCAATTGTACTTGCAGGTTCTACTGTCCTAGCTCAAATCTGAGTGGGATAGAGCATGGCATGAATGGAAAATAAGTGCTGCGAGAGTGAGGAGTATCTACGTCTCTGACCTTTGTTCACCTTTGCAGAGATTGGTCCTGACCATTTCTTGTTCTCGAATTGAAGTGTTGTATTACAAGAAATAAATTAATACTTCCATTATTATTCTTAAATATCCCTGAGGTATTTCTTTAAGTCAATATATTTTGTACAACTTTCACTAATGCTCACAATCAGGTTTTATACATTTTGAACTTAATCTTAAATGAATGCATTTCTAGGGTTGTTAGATCCAAAATCTGAGTTACTCAGAAGACTGAGTGACCGTGAAATGGCAGCATTCTGATTAGCTTAATTCATTTAATAGGATTCTGTTTAGTTTGTTCCTTTATTGCCAATTTGTGTTACTAGTCTCGATACCTCTATTATTTCACGTTGCTATGTGTAAAGAAAGACTTAATGGAATTGTTATTGTGAAGTGGAAGTGTTTGTTCCATACTATCTTCCTTTTGGCTTTTTCTATGTTTGAGGGATTTTGGCTGCTTCTATTATCTTTGCCCGGGCTTATTCTCATAGGGCTTTTGTTTTTAACTTCTATCTCTTTTCAATACGAAAATAAATTCTGCTGATCTTTTGATCAACTAAAGCAGCCAGAGATACCTCCTTGTTTAGTTAATGCTGTATTAAGTTTGTATGTTGTTACATTGCTCTTGCATGAATCATTGTATGTACTTGTTTTGTTTTTTTCTTTCTATGTTATATTATATGCATATTTATAGAATTTTAAATTACAAATAATATCTGTGCCACTATTTAGTTAATTTCATACATTCTTTCTTATACTTTTATAACTTGTACTGTTACTATTTATTGGTAAAGTATGAACTCTAAATGTGATTAATCTGTAAATAGAATGTCCTGTTTCTATATGTTGTGTGTAAGTGCCCGAGATTTATGATTGCACACAGCTGGTTTTGCTTCAAGTGGAACAATTATATGTTGTGTATTGTACTGGTCATATAATTTTTTTATTTGGTTTTTAAAAGTTTTTCTTCCCCTTTTCCCCTTTTTTCATGCTTTTGTGAAGCTTTATGTGTCTGTAGTTAGTACCATGCTCCCTGTAGCTTGGCATGCTGCATAGTGTGGTGCTGAACCGAGATTCTTAAGGCGAGACCGTTCGAACTGACGACAAAGCAAGGTCACTTACAAGGAGGTTTACAACCCTGGCGAGTTCTAGAGCTCACTCACCAAGCAAATGTTATATTTCACAACTTAACAAAAAAAAATTAAAAGAAAAAGGAAATAGTCTTACAAATAACCCAATTTGAATTGTATAGTCAGCATAGTGGTGAAGACCAACTCTGGTGAAGTGAGCACCAAAATTGGTAAATTTTCCTTTCACCCTCGAACGGTTGACACTTAACATTTTCGGGCGCTCTTGGACGGCCCGCTCGCCCGCCCGGCCAGGCTCGCGACGACGCGGTACGGCAGTACGGCGGTACGGCGCTTGCAGTAAGAGCGTGGCCCGGCGGCGGGGCGGGCCAGGGGCGGGCGCGCCGCCTGCATGCTGATGGCCTGATGGCGCGCGGCGGGGCGCGGCAGGGCGGGGCGGGCCCCGCTCAATGGCCCTTCTTTCGCATCGCGGCCTGCAGACGGACTCCGAGTGAGAGGCCTCTCTTTCTCTTTGAGGCGTGCGTCCCCGTATAGGTGCGAGAGAGACGGCGGGTGGGACTTCCCGCTCGGAGTCAGCCCGCTGGCGGGGCGGCGGCGACGGTGAGCAATATCCGTTTGGCTCGATTCACTGGCGATTCTCGATTAGCCTTTGGTCGCCTCTCCACCGCGCCGAGCACCGCGCCCTTACGCCCTGGCAGGCCTTGGCTAGCCTCGGCGAGCCAGCGCGGAGCCACTGGCACTGATGAGTCACAGCCACGCCCGAAAAAAAAAAACAAACAACCGATTAGAAAGAAAGAGAGAAAGAAAAAGAGATGCGCTGACTTGGCCGGATTTGAATCCGTGCCGATCCCTCCGGGTCACGTAACTGTCACGCTGCATGATTGCGCAGTGCCGCTGCCCGGCCGGGCCTCCACCGGGACCTCGACGGGGACCTCGACGTCGCCGGCACTGGCGGGCCCGGAGCAGGACCACACCAAGATCCTGCAGCCCGTGCCCGTCGCGCCCGCGGGGCCCGTGGGGGTGCTGGCCCCGTACTGCATCGCCGACATCTCCAAGGGCTGCAGCGACAGTCGCCAGAGTGAGTCCAGACAAGGGGGTCGAGGTCGAGAGTCAAGACGGACACTCCGGTGGCGGAAGGGTTGCCTACCTGCGTCCTCCCAGCGCCTGATGGAGGTGGTGGTAGGCAACCCTCCCGACACCAGTGTCGTTCAGAGTGCACTAAGCGATTCACGAGCTGTTCTTGCCCTGCTAATGAGTTCCCTCCGTCTTCCGCCTGTTCTGTTGCAGCTCAAGACTTGCTGCAGTTCGAATTCAGCGACCCTTGAAGAGTGCATCCAAGAGCATCAAACTTTTGTGTCAATTCGTTTTGGTAGAGTATTTTTCACATACTAATTCTCCTTATCGCGAAAACATGGCTCTTTACTTCGTCTGTATCGATGTGAAAGGGGAAAAAAAGGAGCAATCTTATTTGCTCAATTTGTTCAAACTTCTATTATTGGGTATCAGTAAAGTGTTTAATCGAGTGGATGCGTCGACTCAAAAGTACTTCTTGTCCGCCGCAGTATATGTTTGTGACTACCGATTTCCTTTTTTTACCCGTGAGAGGGGGCCATGACTCTTACTTCTGAGACGTCGCATCCACGGAGAGTGGGCTGTTGCGGTAGTGCCGGTGCCGAAATATTAGTCACGTACCTCCCTGTATTGTGGTGTTTAGGGCCTCTAGGGACGTTGTGTGCCATTTAACTTTTGTAGATGTTTTTCATACCAAGGGTTTGGGATGTCTATTGCATCCGTGTTTGTTGCTTGGAAAGTCCATCCCAGAAGCGAAGAGACACGAAAATATTCTCCTTAATGTTTGTGTATCGCTCATCCTTTTCGTAAGAAAACAAAAACATGACTGAACGGGCATTATTGTCGACAAGAGAAGATCGAAACATTTTTACTACAATAAAGTCTCGTCATAGGTTTCGAAGAAAGTGTCCGTTGTTTTCGTACTACCTGAACCTCATCACGACCTGACCTCACACACACACACAGTCACACACTCGACAATGAAAGAGCCGCTTCATGACGTGACTGCGGCTCGGAGCCATATCCGCCCCGCCCCTCCCCATGCACCCAAAAACACACACTTCTTCACACTCACTCTGTGTCGTCACACACGCACTCACGCACACACACGCACACATAGACGCGCGGTAAATCCGCGTGTGTGCCGGGCTCCTCAACGAACACAGGTGGCGGGCTCAAGCACGTCTCGTTGTGGCGGGGCTGGCGGGGCTGGCGGGGTGGGGTGGTCGCCGCGTCGCTGGGTCGCTGGTCTGCGCTGCTAGTGGGGGATACTCCGGGCCGCGTACCGCCAGCCGTCCAGCCGGCTGAGGAAAGAAAGACAAGACAGTCTCACCATCGCCTTGCCGCGGCTTAAGTCCCAGTGTGCCTCCGTCCCGCGCGTGCCTGTGTTCCACCAAGTCACCGCCAGGGGGCGCCAACACGGCGCGCAGCGTGTGTGCCGGCAGGGCCATGGGGGGCATGACGGCGGACAGCGACGCCGGCGCCTGAAAGCAGCAGCAGCAAACGTTGGCGCAGAAGGGAGTTCGGCGTGCGATCCCGGTCGCCTCCAACCAGGCCGCGCCGAAGCCGGCCGCCGGGGCCGTGTCATGTGTTGACGGTGTTGACGGGCAGGGCCAGACGCCAGGGCGCTGACGGCGAGGTGCTTCCGCCGGCTCCAGCATGTCTGCGGTGAGTAGCGCTCCTGCTCCCCACGCGCGCGGCATCGGCACGCCGCCACTGTGAAAGGTAACGAGAACAATGCGGTCGGGTTATTCAATCGAAGCCCCGCCGGCCCGGCCAGACCGACCGCGAAACGTGCGGGACGCTGCAGCTCGCGCCTCTGCTGTCCGGTAGTTTGTCATTGTTGTTGTTGCTTACTTTTCTTTTTCAAAGTTTTGTCGGTGACAGTGACACGTTCACGCCGCGGCGCCGCGTTGACACTCGCCTCTCTCGCGTGCAACAATGACACGACACTTACTTTCGCTACCTGTACGCACACCTGTCCCTCGGTGTTCGCTCACGCCGGCTCGCCTTGCCAGGCCTTGCCCGTCTCCGGCCATGCACAGCGGGCCAAGCCCGGCCAAGCCCGGCCAAGCCCGGCCGGCCAAGCCACACTTCGGACGGCCTGTGCATACATTTCCATGCCAAGTTATCTTTCCCTAAGTAAACCGCGTGCGGAGCGCGGTGCGCGGTGCGCGGAGCGGCCGTCGGCTTGCGTGCGTTTTTGCCTCCAAGCCGCCAAGCCGTCAAGCCGTCAAGCGGGCAGCAGGTGCGTCCACACGACACCCCAGCGTGTGTGTGCGTGCGAGTGTGAGTGTGTAGTGGTAGTGGTGCAGTGGTGCATGTCAAGAGGGGCGTCGGCGTGGATGATTCCCTCGCGAGGCGGATTGCTCGGCCACGCAACCGCCGAGCCGTTGACAGTTTTGCGGTGGTGGCCCGCCTCGGCCCGCCGGCTGCGTTGAGCTGGGCCGAGCCGGGGGGCCGGGGGGGGGGCCGGGCCATGTGATGTGACGGACGACATGGAGACAGCGGGACAGCCGGCTGCCGGAACCGGTCCACTGTGCATTCTCTTCGCGTCATTCCGAGCCGCACCCAGGGCGCGCTCCGTCTCTCTCGCACCCCTGAGCCACGCGCCATGCGTGCGAGAGAGACAGCGACGAAAGCACTTCGACATGGAGCTGCGGGGTTCATCTCTCCGCGGGCCGCCCAAACACCCTGGCGAGCTGCCGCGGTTCAAGTGGCAGCCACTGGCAAGCGCTTCCGGACTTGTCATTGTTGTTTACTTTGCAGCGGTGTCTCCGCGCGGCGCTGGCGGCGCTGCTGCTGACGGTGACCGTCGTGGTGGCCCTCAAGTACGACGCGAAGCAGCCCTACTGCCGCAACTACGGCGGCTGCTACCCGCGCGCCGCCCCCCGCGACTACCCCTACCTGCCCGCGCCCCCGGGCAAGACCCCCCGCTGCGCCCGGCCCGGGGCCACCTTCTGCGAGAGCGCCGACCACTACCCGGCGTAAGTGCATCAATTAAGGGTGGTGCACTGGATTACGTTGCTGACTTAGGGTCGCCGTTTAGCTCGGCCTGGCCTGCCTTGTGGCGCTGCACAGTGTGCCAGAAGACCGGTGGAGGCTGCCAAAATTCTGGACGCGTTTTGAGCTCCAGAGTCGCTAAATGGGACTCGAACCGAACGTGTGACCCCACCAATGGATTCCTCGTTCGGAGAGCAATCCATTGGTGGGGTCAAACGTTCCGTTCGAGTCCTGCTTAGCGACTCTGGAGCTCAAAACGCGTCTGGAGTTTTGGCCGGCTCCACCCGTCTTCTGGCCCACTGTGCGCTGCCTTGACGCGTGCTGAGACGAAGGGACTTACATCTAACGTAAAACCTGTCTCTCTCGCACTCATTGACCGACCAAGGAGGGACAAGGACAGAGCCAGGACTACTTGGACGATCCCTGAACGCACAGAAGCCAGCCGGGTGGTCCGTCCCGCACCGGCCGGCCGCCCTGGCAGGCGCCCCTTCGCCTGACTCATTGACAGGCTAGACCACAATTGATCGCTCCCGGGGGCTGCCACCACTGCCGCCTGGCCGTCTGACGAGACCAGCCTGCTTTCCGCTTTCCCGCAGACACCTGATCCAGTACCTGGTCGACCGCTGGGCCTACGACTTCAACACGCTGCTCAAGAGCGAGGATGCGGAGGACTTCAGCTCCAGGTAAATGGCGGTTGCCGAGCAACAGGCCCGCGCGGCGTGTGTGCGTGCGTGGCGGCCCGACCCTCGTTTTCAATCAAAGTCACGGACTTCCGGCACGCGAGCGGCCGGGGAGTGGCGTGGCCCGCGTGGCCACCCTCGGGCCAGCCGCCACCGCCTGCCAGCGCGCCAGCCCCTGCCGAGTTGCGGCCCTCCGGAGGGAGAGTTTCGCGGTTATCGCCAACCCTCACACTGCCCTGTAGGGCCTACACTGTGATAAAGGGCCGCCTCCGCCAACAGGTTCCCCGTGACGTACTCGTACGGCCCCGGCCCTCAGGACAACGCCACGGCGCCCAGCGGGCCCAGCGGGCCGGCACTGGGGTACAGGCCGGCCGCGAGCTACGGCCCTCCCGGGTACCGGCAGGACGGCTACCCCGACAGGAGGTACTCCCTGAACGCGGCGCTGACGGACATCACGTACCCGCCCATGTCGCCGACGCCCGCCCCGGAGGAGGCCCCGGAGTCCTTCCCGCAGCAGTCCGTCTCCATCAACCCAGCGGGGCCGATCGCGTGGGCGAGGTGAGTGGAAATGGCTTTAAAATGGAGTGTTCCTGCCTGGGCTTGTCACATGCAGCCGCGCATGCCGGCCTGCTGACGGGGTGGGTGCGACATGTAACTGCTTTCACCCCCTCCCCCTCGCACACACTGCGCGCGCTGCGCACACAGGCGCCTGAAAGTTGGCGACCCCGCCTGGCAACGCCGCTGCACGGAACACGCCGGACACTCTGAATCGAATCCATTTCCAGCTCGGTGTGAAGCAGCAAGCAGCAGTCACCGTGTCGGACACATTTTAATATTTTTTTCCCAGGTTCCGGCGCGACGCGTCGAGACTGCTGCGGCGTCGGCAGCGGCGCCAGACGTCCACGTCGGAGGCCGGGTCCACGACGCTGTGCCCCACGACGTCGTCCTTCATCACCCCGCAGGCCGCCCTCAACACCAAGGGCGTGTGGATGTTCGTCGCCAACGTGCCGGACGCCCAGGGCGGCCAGGCGGCCGGCCAGGGCGGCGGCCGCTACACCCAGCTCGTACGGGCCGAGTCGTGCGTGTGAGTCAAGGACCGCCAGGAGCCAGGCCATTTTATTTTCATGAAAATCTAACGTCGTTTAGATCTTTGTTTTGGCAGTGCCGTGGATTCGTATCCGCCGCCCGCCACGCACAGTGGGCCAGAAGCCGGTGGAGGCGGCCAAAACTCTAGACGCGTTTTGAGCTCCAGAGTCGCTAAATGGGACTCGAACCGAACGTGGGACCCCACCAATGGATTGCTCTCCGAACGAGGAATCCATTGGTGGGGTCACACGTTCGGTTCGAGTCCCATTTAGCGACTCTGGAGCTCAAAACGCGTCTAGAGTTTTGGCCGCCTCCACCGGCTTCTGGCCCACTGTGCCACGCCACACCACGCCAGGCGGGTCGCGCTCGCAAATGGAGGTGGCGGAGCTGGCGGTGCCATCCGTGTCCAGTCACTGTGTTCGTGTTCGTTTTCACGGCCTACACAACCTCCGCGCCGCTCCGCGCCACGGCGCCGTGACGCGACCATGGCGAAGGTCTCTGTCACGCCGGGCACCTCCCAGCCAGATGACGCGGGTTGATCTGGTCCAGATCGCCCGCACGCCATGCGAGCCTTATAGCCTGACCATTCGGGACGGGAAAAAAAATTACAGCGAATATTTTGTACTTGAGCGAAATGATAATTGAAAACAACGGCAAACGCGGCAAGCACTCCGCCGGGCCGGGCCGGGCGGCCTCGGGAAAATGCACAACACGACCGTGTGAAACTATCATCGCCGCGGTCGCAAAAAAAAACTCGCACGCGTTCTGAAATACGCGGCGCACAGTGGGCCAGAAGCCGGTGGAGGCGGCCAAAACTCTAGACGCGTTTTGAGCTCCAGAGTCGCTAAATGGGACTCGAACCGAACGTGTGACACCACCAATGGATTGCTCTCCGAACGAGGAATCCATTGGTGGTGTCACACGTTCGGTTCGAGTCCCATTTAGCGACTCTGGAGCTCAAAACGCGTCTAGAGTTTTGGCTTCCTCCACCGGCTTCTGGCCCACTGTGCGGCGCTACGGCACGGCGCGGCACGGCACGGCACGGCGCCTAGCGGGCCCCTCTAGCCTCGCCCCCGGCCTCGAGTTCAATTCCTTTTTCAGTGTACCTGGTATTCAATTCAATCACAAAGTTTTCTGTGCTGTTGCTGTTTTGGCAGGACCAGCGAGTGCAACGGCATCTGCTCGCTGCCCAACGGCTACTCGTCGCGGTGCGAGCAGCAGTACGTGCAGAAGAGACTGGTGGCGCTGGGCGGCGGCGGCGACCGCCTGTACACGGACACCTTCTGGTTCCCGCACTGCTGCGTGTGCCACATCAGGGCCTCCTCCTAGGGCGCGGCGGCGCCCTCGGGCCCGGAGCCTCGACGGCCTCCCGCCGCGGACGCGGCCGCCAACGACGCGGCCGCCGCCACCGCGCCGACGACGGCGTCCCTCGGCCCCGGCGGCCAGGCCCCCGAGACGCGGCTCCTGATTGGCTCGTGGGTGCCGCTGCCGCTGCCCGCCTTCCTGGTGGTGCTCCTCCCCACCCTGGCGCTGTGACTCTCGGACTGGAGGGCCCAGTGCAGTGCAAAGTGACGTCGCGAGTGTGAAGATCGGCCGCTCTCGGCCCGTTCAAACAGTGCGGGAGACTGCCCCCTCCCCGCGCCGCCCCGCCGCCGCACCGCGGCAACGCGGACCGTGGGAGCCGCGAGAAAAAGGCCCGCGACGACGTGGCCTCAAAGGGCGAGCCTCGCCGGCCCAAAGCCTGGCGCCTTGTGTCTGGCGCCTGCACTGCAGGACAGACTGCCGTGGTGGCCGCCAAAACGGTCCAGTGCCAGGCCAGGCTCGCCGATCATTCTCGTCGAATTAAATTATTATTATTAGGACACTCTAAAACTCGTTGCAGCAATCTTGTACTTGGCAACCTCTGGCGACTGCCGTGCTGCCGCGCGGCCCCGCCCGAGGTCGCCCAACGCAATCCCCATGAAGGGCCCCCTCACGCTGGAGGGGCTCGACGCGCGCGCCGCGGCAATGTGACGCGGCACTTGTCGTCTTCTCGCCGTTTTTGCCCGTGCCACTCGTGCCACTTCGAGACACGCCCCCCCCCCCCTCTCTCACACACACACGCGTGGCCTGGGTGGGGATCGAACAAGGAGTATACAGCACTCGCTAGTACGAGTTAAACAAATTATTATTTTCAATAAATTACACATAGTCACAAGCCATCATGAAGGAACAGTAGTTTAAATTAGGTATCGGTATTTTTGGTGAAGTCTCTGGTCGGAAGCCCCATTCGTAACCCACGCCGTCTGTGCCGCTGAAGAGGATGAGTGTCGATTCCGCTCGGCAAGTGGCGGCTTAGCTGCTGCCGTCCATGGCACCCATGAACTTCTTGATCACGTCGCGGAACTGCAAACCGAGTTCGAACACGTTGGAGCGACCGGCGCGGTTCCGTTGCAAGTGGAGAGTGTAGGAGCGGGCCGGGTGAGAGGTCGGTCCCCGCCGCAGCGCCGCAGCGCCGCAGCCCGCGGGCAACGACTCGGCGATACCCCGCGCTGCGAGACTGTCTCTGGAGCGAGGGGTAGCGCCGCGCGCCGCCGCCGCGAGTGCAGCGCGGCGCACTGCGGTTCGGATTCAATCTCTCGTTCCGGCCCATCACACTTACGATCTCAGACTCCTTGTAGCCGCATGTGAAGAAGTCGTAGCCCAGCACACAATCCTTCTTCCCCTTGACTGCACAGAGATAGAGAGAGAACACATGAGAGTCCCTGCACTCAGCCATCACTGCAACGCCGGCATATTCCGCAGCGGAAAAAATGGTGGAAGGGGAAACAGACAACTCGAAAAGGGAGGCCATCTGCATAAGCGCTTTGCCTGTGCCCCGCCCCCTTCCCCCTTCCCCCTCGCTGTCGAAGTGACGGGGCGACTCTTTTTATTTGGTCGACAAGCAACGGCCCGGGGCGCTGCCCTGTCGGCCCCGTCCGCCCGCGCGCAGATTTAGCTGTCCTAACTAAAGCAGCCCTGCGGAAGTTTGTTGACTTTGTGTCTCAGGCCGGCCAGCACCTGGCGGGGGCGGCGGCACGGCAGCGACGGCAGCGCGCACCCAAAAGAGGGGCTCGTCGAGGGAGACGCGGAGCGAGGCCCTCGCCGGCGTGGCCGCCCCCAGCCCCAATGAGCACAGCGGGCGAAACATTGTTTTTCCCGGCAGCCCGCAGTGGACGTTTCGAGTTACAGACTTGTATCAAATGAACTTGGCAACTACAGGTTTCTTTTCCGTTCGAAGGACAGCCCGCTGGTACTGTCGTAAATTTGGTTCGAGCTGCATTTTGTGACAGTCCAGAGTCCAAACAGTGCCCAGAGTTGTGCTCGCTCAAAGCAGCCTTCCCGCCGGCGTACCCTCGACTCTACTCACTTGCGGGCTCGCAGATGGGCTTCACTCGCACCCACTCGGCGGACCACTCCTTGATCTCGAACTCGTCGACGGCCGCGGTGAACTTTTCCATGTCGGCTTCCCCGGCGTCGGTCATCTGCGGGGCACAGAGCGTTCAGCGCGTTCAGCGTGAGCGGAAATTGCGACTTCCGCGCCGCCGACGGCCCCGGCCGGGCTGGGCTGGCCGACGGTCGCGCTGCTGATGAAATTCAGTCACGCTATTTCGGATCTCCGGCAGTCTTCGTGACTCTGTTCGGACACCCGCCGCGGATAACCTTATGGATCTACCGGGCATGGGACACAGTGGCGCGAGCCCCTAGGTCCCCCACGTGACATGCGCCGGATTCAGAGGGCCGCTCTTCCAGTGTGCCTTCGAAGCCGCTGGATCGAGCCACAGCGCTGCGAAGGGGCGGCCCGGACAGCCTCGACTGTTACTTACGACTTTGGCCTTCTTGGCGACGCAGGCCACGACACACTGCAAGAAGAAAATGCGCGGTTAGAAGTGAACCAGGTTACCTGGGGAACGAAAACTCAGTTTCCGGTCTCACCTTGCAGGGATCGTACTTGGCCTGGGAGTTGTCGTTGCCCTCCTTCATCATCTCTTTGCACACGGCTGCGGAAGAAAGGGTCGGTCACCATTCCACAATAAAAACCAAAAAGTATTAATAAAATTTTAACGAAATACAAAAAAATAAAAAAAAAAAATAAAAGTTGCAGTTTGAAGTCCAACTGACCGGTGTCAATTTTGAGCTCCTTGACGCAGTCCAGGGTGTGCTTGATGTACCGCGGCATGAGCTCGCCCTTCTTGTCGGCCTGCGGAAATGAAAGCGCGAGAGAAACTGGGTTAAATTTTGAGTGAGACCCGCGCACTCTGTCCGACTATTTTTGGCAGACTGTGCGCTGCTGCGCTGCTCCGCTGCTCCGCACCGAAGTGTCACGCCAAGTTGTTGCCGAAGAACGTAATGGTCGATCGAGTGAGGGCCGAGGCAGCCGAGGGCAGAGGGGCGGACAGGCCGTGGGGAAAGGGGAGAAGTGAGTGGGAAGAACTCCAGTGACGCGGCCGGCCGGCTCCTGGGCGCGGACCCCCGGGCCGCCGGGCCCCCGGCGACGGCAGGCAGTCCGTCAACGATCTGCTCTGTTCTCCTCCTTCCAGAGCATTAGCGACGTCACGTCGGAGCGAAACGCGACGCTGAGGGATGCAGTTGCTCCTCAAAATGTAAGAGGTGCGGGGGAGGAGTGATGGCGAAGCCAATGGGAAGGAACGGCGGAACGGACGCGGATGCTGCTTTTTCAGTGTACCTGCGCCAGGACGGCCAGGCTGGCGACCACGCCGACGACGGCCAGGACGGTGCAGCTCTTCATGGTGTCGGCGCAGTGGTCGGGGTATCACAGCACTTGGCGGATGCGCGGCGTCAGCTCGGGAGCCAATCGCGACAATCGTGTTGGCCGTCGCCCGGCAGCGCTTAAATACCGCGGCGGGTCGGACGGGGCTGGCAGACAGGCAGGCGGGGGTCTGTACAGGGCCTGCACCAGGCGGCGGCGTGCTATTGGTGGCCAGTGGTGGCCAGTGGGCGCCGGCCCTCGCGTGCGCGCCACGGTCAGGGCGGCTGGGGCCGTGGATGCGAGGCTGCCTGCCTGTGGCCGTGGCGGCCGGCAGATGGCCCAGCTGATTGGAGAGGCCCTCGCAGTCTACTAGCCTCACAGCCTCGTACGGCAAGAAACGCCAGACTGGAGCTTGCAAGTGGGGGCAACAACCAACCCCCAGCCGGAGCCAACACCGACACTGGAGACGGGTTAAGGCTGAGGGTGAGGGGTCGCGGCAAGAACTCGCCAGTTCTAAAGACACTCGAGGCCACTGGTGCCACTTCGCCGCCAAGTACTTACTCGGCCGTCCCCCTCGGAATGCAGCCTCCGTCGCGGCCAGCACCGAGTGTAGCACGGCCTGCGTTCGGCCCGTTTTCACTTCCGCTCCGAACTTTGTCACTGACTGACACTCGGGTGACATTGACACATTGAGCGGTCGAATCTGTGGCGGTCCGAACCGTCCAGCCGCACTCGCGTGTGGCGGCGCGTGAGTAGTAAGAACCGGTCATTGCGACGCGCCGCCATCTTGAGTCCCTCTGTTGGTTAAGTTGCGCAAACGGGCGAGGGGACAGTGGGGGCTTCAAGATGGCAGTGGGTGACAATGGGTAGTTGTTACTACTGCGTTCTGCCTTGGGCCCTCCCTGCCCTTCCGTGGGCGGGGCCTGGGGCGGGGGCACTACTGGAAGTGGCCTTTGAACACCACCTGCTGCTGCGGCACGGCCTGCACGGCCCGCGCGGCCTGCACGGCCTGCTCGGCCACGGTGGCAGTTAGACGACGTCATAAAGTGCGGGTTATGAGAAATTGCGCGCGCCGCCAACGCCGAGCTCGCCGTGCTCGCGGTGCGGCCAGGAGTGGCGACTGGAGTAAGTGCCGCTAGGCCGCCCTGCCCACCGCCTTGCCCGTCGCCTTGCCCGCCGCCCCCGGCCCGGCGTCCCCGTCCGCCGCCTGGACTTGAAGTAACTAACTTTGTTCGCGTCTCCGAGTTGGCCGAAGAAATGGTGAAATATACCCGGGCGGTAAAGCCGTGCGACCCGGCCCGTTCTCGCGAGCTCGCCCTGGCCGGCTTGGTGCCTGGTCGGGGCGGGGAACCCCCGGTGGCACCGCAGAGCGATGGAGCGGCCCCGAGATCGCGCCTTTATTTAAATCAACCGCATCGTGGTGTCACGCCGTGCCTCGCGCGTTGGCGAGCGTTCTTCGAAGACGTCCGAAGGGGACATCTCGACCATCCTCAGGACAGCGTCCTCCTGAGGAAGACGGATGGCGCGCTGCCTGCCACTGCCCCTCGCGGCGAGGTGACGAGTTAAAAATCACGCAAGGATCGGCTCGGCGTTCGACTGCCGCGACACGGAGGCTTCAGAGCCACGTCCAGCATGTGCGTGCGGGCGGGTGGAGCTTCACCGAACTGCGTCAGTTTTTCAGCCACTGGCGTGCAGACCATCCGACGAAAAAAACAACTATAACGACAGCCAAAAAAACGGGGATTAAAAAAACATGGCCCGTCTGGCGGTAACAAGGCAAACATAAAATGACGCGGAGAAATAATAAACAGAATCTAAGGTCATTAAAGTCCGCTTAACAAAAAAAAACTATGTACATAAAAAAAACAGCTTTTTGCAGGCAGGTGGTCATTAAAATTATCTGTACATTTTGAGTTTTGTTCGGCGTCGTGACTGGCGTGACGACACTCGAAGGCACGGAGGCACCCTGGGAAGGCGGCCCTGTTCGGACCAAGACGTTGTTGAATGATCCGTATTATTCCCCCACCACTCTTTCCGCCATTACCGCCCTGGAGTCGTAGCGCCAAAGTAGTGCGAGAGCGCGAGATCCTGGGAGGCTCAGTGGACTGGCGGCTCGGTCTGCCCCGCCCCGCCCCGCCCCGCAGCCACCCCATTTGGCTTATCTGGCGGCGCAACGTCTATTCTTGCAAACTTCGCCACTGTGTGTCTCTGGCGCCGCTGAGGGAGATGCTGGGCGAGCTGTAGGCTGCTGCACTGCCAGAACTTCACGGCCCCCTCCAGGCCACTCCAGGGTCCGCTCCAGGCCTCCAGTCTTTGTTTTTCATTCATTAAGTGCGGCCGCCACAAAAGCGGGGAAAATGACGGCGAAGGCGAAATGGCCTCGCCCCGATCAGGATCACTGTACTGGGCGGCCGACAACGGCAGCAGGGGCTGGCCGCACCATTGTGCCCCGCCGCAGCCAAGGCAGCCACACACCTGATTGGCAAGCATTGTGCCGAAGAGTGCTCTGGGCGTGCATTACGCGCTGAAGGGCCGGCCGATGTGACAGCCCCCCCTTTGAGCCTAGCTTCCCCGCTGCAGAATCCGTGTCGATGGCATGTTCCGGGAATGACAGGCCTGTTCTATGTACTCTGGGAGGAATATCGGCGCTGGTTCGCAGGAATGCATATTGGCGGACAGTACGCTGGACGATTTGCCCGGACCGCAGCCTGGTCCAGTTTCCAGCCTCGCTCGCGGATCTCTTCGTGTGATTGGGGACCGCGCCTGGGCAGCACGGATCGAGCCAATGAAGAGGCATACCAGGGCCAGACAGAGGGCGGGCGTGGGAGTGAGGGAGAGAGGGTAGAGGTCCTTGAGAATTGACGTCGGTGGGGAGGCTGGTGGTGGTATACTGAATTTAACATGAAGCCCAACCGTCCGTTCGAGGCGTATATATATTTCCCCCTTTCCCTGCCCTCCTCCTCTGCCTCTCTCACTCTTTCTTCGGAACTAATAGACTGGAGTAGAGTGGGCGCTCCGATGCTTTACCTACATTTTGCCCCAGATTGCGAGTGCGACTTAAGATTGCGCTCTCGGTCGTCGTAATGGTTGGTGAGAAATTAATTTCCGGTCGCCCCGCCGTGCTTCACGGTGAGAGTAGGGGACGTGGTGTCCCAGCTGCACTACTTTATAACCGCAGTTGACCCACTCTCACTCCATGAAGCTCCATGACCCACTCCCTCAGGCTCCCACGCCGCTTCAAATTTTGGCTGGACACTTTCCTGCCCGGGCTTTGCAGCGACATATTGTTACATTTGAATCTTCGCGTGCAACGTGTTCGTCCGCGACGTGAAGGCCACCGCCGTGCCGGTCACGGCATGGAGCGGCCAGCCACAGTGGGGCCACTAACACTCGAGTCAAACCATGGCACTGCTCATTTGGACGAGGGATCTATGGTACCGTCATGATTCTAGACCTGCTGAAGTGACGCACTCAGCTTAAAACAGAGCTGTGAGTCCCGAGGCTTGGCTCTCCGTGCTCCTGCTCGCTTGCTGCTGTGTGCCCCCAACCAAACTAGCTGCCCAGTTTACCAATCAAGACAGAGTCCGGATAACAACAACTCCGCCCAGCAGCAGGCGGCGGGGCTCCGGGCATGCGGGCCGATTCTGAACAGGGCGCTGTGTCGCTGTCTCTCTCACACTGCTGCACGACGCCCACTGAGTGGGAGAGAGACACAGCGACGAAAGCAAGTATGTTTGGAATCAGCAAGTGTGGAAGTCGAGTTTGCATTGTCGCGAACGGCTCGCTTCGCGCGCCAAGTTTGAAGAAACGGCGCAGCGCGCAGCAGCGTGTCGAGTTTGCCATCCACGCCGCCCCTCCCCCACCCCAGTCCGCGTTTTCTTTGCGCCGTCATCACTTTGCCGTCGGCGGAAGCTTCCGAGAGCAACGGGGTTCAAACAGCCTGTTGGAGGGGGGACTAGTTGAGGGCGGAAGTGGACGGGGCGGGCCGCGGGCCGCGGGCCGGGCGGCGCGGAGGGCGGGACGGGACAGGTTGATTGTGGCCCGGGGGGCCGAAACGCCGTGCTGCCGTGCTGCCGCGCTGCACCAGGCCGGCGACAAGCCAGCGGCAGGCCGTCGCCGGGCCGGCAGGCTGTGCGACGGGAAGCGGTGGATGAGGGGACACTGATGGTGTGCCCTTCCTTCCGGAGGCATGCCGACTAGTGCACGCCACAGCAGTGGAAGTGCCGCGCGCGTACAGTGGACCAGCCGGGGGAGGCGGTCAAAATCCCGGACGCGTAGTGGGCTCTGGAGTCGCTAACTGGGACTCGAACCGAACGTGTGACCCCACCAATGGATTGCTCTTGGAACGCAGAATCCATTGGTGGCCTCACACGTTCAGTTTGAGTCCCATTTAGGGACTCTTTAGCTCAAAACGCGTCTAGAGTTTCTGGACGCCTCCAACGACCTTCTAGCCCCTTGTGCGAGGCTTGCGTCTTGCTACTTTTTGCCTCACGCAGCAACTCGCAGCAACGCTGTGCTATTCTGCCGTGACTCAAAATCGAAGTCAAGCTGGGAAAATCATGTCAGCCACGATAAAGTGAAAATGCAAGGCGTTGCTCTCGAAGGGAGACGTAACGTTAACAGCCGTGCCCTGCAGACTTTGCCGGCTGCCTCGAGGAGTCGGGCGGGTTGGGCTGCCGGATTTTGGCCTCGGCCGCTCGGCTGGAGCAGATTGCTGATGGCGATTCAATGCCAGTTGGAGTGGAGGGCTTTGGCGGGGTGGCCGACGAACGGACGGACGGTTGGGCCGGACTACACTCGCGACCCAGACCCGCAACCCGCACGCGGCGCAGACCGAATAACACCAAATAAGAAAAGCGAGCTGTACTCGCTGCAAGCAGTCCTGTGCGCGCCCTGCCAGCGCGCGTTCGGTCGCTGCTGCTGCAGCAGGCTGTTTCCGAGAGTCGTTTTCGTCGCTCTGTCTCTCTCGCACCCTCACGCGGCGCCCTATGCGTTTGGGAGAGACAGAGCGATGAAAACGACTCCCGGAATCAACCTGCAGGCTAGCAGCCTGCAGGCGTCGGGTGGGATTCTTAACGCCGAGTGTTTCGTCGGCAAGTTTACGGTCGAGTTCGCGCGGCAGACTCGGCGG